AAGAAATATTGAGTTGTTACTTATGTTTGCTTGTTATCTGTTTGAACTTTTGCGTGAATGAACTGAATAAAGTTGAGGTTTTTGGTGTTTCAGGGGAGAGTTGGAGTCGAATCAGTGGTGGGATTGTACTGATTTTTGTGGATATTTGGGTTGGTGAACTGAGAGGAAAGATATGGAGCCTCCAGAAGGGGTTTTGGCTTCAGTATGGCACTTTATCTGCTTCCTTCCTTACTTCATTGGTCTGCTGCTTTTGGGCATAATCAAAGGTGACTGTTGTTTTGCTTTTCTGATTGTTTTCCATTGTCGCTCGATTTTCCCATATGCTTATAGATTTTCTTTCTATAGTTTTTAAAAAATTATAATTTTGAATGTTATTTCCATTTCTACCATTTTGGTGTTTGTATTTCTGCTCTGCAATCTGTTTGTTCCATGGAGGGCACCCTTTTTACGTTTGTCATGTTTGAATCGATATTCTGTGAGACTGTGCTCCATCGGTCTTACTTCTTATTTTTGTAAATTATTTTTTATATTTCGCATTTTTGCAAAAATGTACTATCTGCCTATCTGGGCATTTGTTAGCAAATTCACGGCCAATAATGGTGTTTGGGAAAATATTGTTGGATTTAATGTTAAAAGGGTATGCATTACTATGTAGACTGCAAGCCAATCATATCATGACTTTTCAGGGATCATATTCAGAGATTTAAATTTTATTTTATGAGTTTTTCAGGAATAATTTTCTGCCCATTGACGTGCCTTATCTTAACTTTCGGAAACTCTGGAATCATATTGGGTCTTTTGCCAGTATATGGTGTCTGGACCTACTACTCAGTTTTGAGGTGCTTTCCTTGACCCTTTGCTCTCTCATTTGCTTTGGTTCACTGTTATGCTGCTCTAATCTGGTTCTCATTTTGTTAAATATCTTTCACAGAGCTAAACAATTAGGGCCAGTTCTGAAGCTTGTTGTCTGCTTAGCCATCCCTGTTTTGTTGATATTGTGGACAGTGGTAGGCATTGTTGGAAGTATCATAGGTGGAACACTGTATGGCTTCCTTTCACCAATATTTTCCACTTTTGATGCTGTAGGAGAAGGAAAGACCAATGTGTTTTTCCACTGTTTTTACGTATGTCTTAAACATCCAAGTTCTTTTCTCTTAAAGGGTACTTTTTGAGAACTTCTGAATTATTTATGCATATTCAGCTCTCTTGTTATCTTTCATATGAGATACATTTATACCACCATCTTTACAGGATGGAACTTGGAGCACTATCGAGGGCAGCTTTACTGTTGTCAAGGATTTCAAAGATGTTTGTTTCCATTCCTACTTCTCAGTTATGGATGACCTGCAAAAGCAAGAGCCACCAAATGGAAAATGCTATGAGATCAGGTATACAGACTTAGTGGTTTTCTGCTTAAACTCTAGCCAACAATGCAGATATTTGATTTTGAATTTTTAGGGAAGTCTTAATTACATTTTTTTTGTCTGCAAATTGAATTTTTTATTGAAATAGTTGGAGTACAAGAAGTACTCTACAGCATCCTTACACTGAGCTGGCAGTCTGTCTTACATAATTATCAACAACCTGTTACCCGTATGATGAATGCTATCTACAAACTAACCAGCATCTGGTTCCTCAATTCCTCTGATGGTCTGACATAAGTTTTCCAATGGATTTAAAAGTTTGACTCCCAAAAGCAGAAACCTACCGTGAATGAAAAAGAATTTGACAGGTTTGCAAATCAATTTGGTCACATGATTCATAAGGCTTTATCTGGTAGGATGGCAGTTAGACTTTGGGTTATTTCTGTCAGAGATGACAACCCTCATTTGTTTTGATGTTATTTCTCCTTCGACTTTTTTCAGACTGCTTTTGCTTCCCGGTGCTATTATAGCTGCAGTGCTTGGTTTGCTGATAGATTTTCCAGTGATCTCCATTGTTGCCCTGGGCAAAAGTCCTTACATGCTCTTTAAGGGTTGGCATCGTTTATTTCATGACCTTATTGGCAGAGAAGGACCTTTCTTGGAGACAATATGTGTACCATTTGCAGGTCTTGCAATCCTTCTCTGGCCATTGGCTGTTGTTGGGGCAGTGTTGGGCTCCATGGTGGCAAGTATCTTCCTTGGTGCCTTTGCAGGGGTGGTTGTCTATCAGGTTAAGATCTTATAGTATCACCATTGTTCCATTGCCTTATCAAAGTTTGTTTTTTGGCAGTTTCATATCATACACTGAAACTTTCATCATTTGTCCTTTATTTTGGAAGACATTTGATTTGAAAGTGTGGGGTTTGGAATACAGGAGTCCTCGTTTTGGTTTGGACTTTGTTATATTGTAGCATCCTTATCTATTTATGATGAATACAGCAATGACATCATTGACATGCGAGAAGGATCTTGCTTTCCAAGGTTTTATTCATAACTTTACTAATTTATGGTTGTGATATACGCACTTTGGTCTATTCTTACAGATTTTCATATTAACAGGCCTCAGTTCCGAAGACAAGCTGACTCATCAAAGACTGCCTCGCAACCTACCACCTCTCAAATGAGCTCTTTCTCAAGGCCAAGGTCTTTGAAAAATGTCCCCTCTCACTCTCTTTCTATTTCGTTTGCAAATCCAATGGTTGATTTGAAGCCACTTGAGGTAACCTCATCTTGAATGAATTCTGTGTGTACCAGCCTCCCTTTTTTAGCTTATCAACCAGGTGGTAAACATGAACTATTATTATTTGCCGGTATAGCTTCTTGATAGCTTATTTAAGGAGTGTCAACGCCATGGAGAAATTATGGTTTCAGAAGGACTTATAACTCCTACAGACATAGAAGATGCCAAGTCTAGCAAAGGAAGCAGAGTGGTTAGCATAGGGTTACCAGCTTATTGCCTTCTTCAATGTCTTTTGCACTCTGCCCAAGCCAACTCCGCTGGCATATTGTTAAGTAAGAGAACAATGCATTGTGTTATTTTTTCTTGTAATTCTCCCTATGAAATTTCAAACAGTTTTGACAGCTTAATAACTGCTTCTATGCAGGTGACGACATGACTGAGATAACCCCTTCAAATAGACCAAAAGACACCTTCTTTGATTGGTTTCTTAACCCCATTCTGATCATTAAGGAACAAATCAAAGCAGAAAATCTTTCTGAGGAGGAAGAGGAGTATCTTGGCAAATTAGTTCTGTTGTGTGGTGATCCTGCAAGGTTGAAGAATTCAAACATTGGATCACCACCTGAATCAGAGCGTAAGCGAGCTGAGCTTGATGCATTAGCCCGAAGGTGAAAACACAATCAATTCAACATTTTGTTTCAAGTTTCCCTTGTCTACTACTTAGAAAACCTCACTTACATTGTATTGTCACACATGAAGGCTACAGGGAATAACCAAATCTATCTCGAGGTATCCTACTTATCGTCGCCATTTTGAGATTCTTGTCAAGACTCTGTTAAAGAACCTTGCCCAGAAGAATGATGGAAGCAGATCTAGCAACAGGACTCAAACAATACAACGATCTAAGAGTGCCTTTCCAGCTTAGCCAGAAATCTTTCAAAGGGAAAACAAACAACGGATCCAATAAAAAAATCACAGTAAGTTAAAGTTAGAGATGATGAATTTGTATGAGTTTTGAATGTTTTCTGCGGATATCAAAGAAAAAAGGAAAAAGAATGCCATTGAACATTAGTCCCTTTTCCTCATGGATATATATAAATAGGAAGATGGGATATATTTCTTTCTCAAATGAATAAGTAATGAAGTTGATTTGTAGTACTTGGGATTTCGGGTACAGTGACGTCAGGTCACGTATAAGTGCATTTCCCATCTCCAGGGCCTCTAGGGGCAACGGTTCAAATTCGGTCATTTGTAAATTTGTTAAAAAAAAAAAAAAAGTTGATTTGTAAAATGTTCGAATTTATCCCTAATCTTTTTTTTTTTTGTGTCTTCCTCTTTGAGCCCCTCTCTTCCAATGGTAAAGCTGAAAAAATGAATTATTAAAGAGTAAACAACTTGAGCCTTCGATTATTTCAGTTCTAATCTTAAATTGTTTTATATATAGTTGCTTTTGCTCACATTTTATGCGTCTTCGGACTCTTCACAAAGTTTGTCATTTTAATAATATTTATTTGCTTTTCATGTAACTCAAGTTTAGTGATTTTACTTTTCTTAAAATAAATTTAAAAAACCTTTTTCTATTATTTAATTTATCATACTCAGGATCTTTTACTTTTAAATACAAAAAGATTATTACTAAATTATTAAAATTTTTTGATAAATAAAATTAATGAAGGTAGTCATGAATTTGTTCATGTCTATAAACACACAACTTTTGTTCTTATATATGAGGCGTGAAATAGATATTACTAATCAACATACCATTTGTGTGAAAAATCATACTATTAATACATTAGTTGTTATTTTTGTTGTAAAAAAATTGTAGAAATTGGTACTCACGAATAATGCTTATCTCAACAACATTAACTGATATTTTAAAATGTTGGAGGAAACTAAAAGCATCTTGTAATTTTTGATGAGTCATTCAACTTTAGATTTTCTTTTCTTTATTTATCCGGGCATATAATGATTTTTAATTGTATTATTATAAATGAAATTATCTTTTAGCTTCTTTTTTAATATGTCATATAAATAAGAGAAATAGAATTTAAGACTATATGAAACTGACAATTTTTTTTCAAATCTAGTCTAGCCTCATTAGCTCAATTTGTATAACAAAGTTTATAAGAAATAAAATTGATAAATAAATTATGAATGACAGAAAT